CACGTTTCCTGAATTTTTACAATGTACTGAAGTGAGGATCTTACAAATGGTAAGAGTTTGTCTCCATCTCCAAGTGTCTAGTCTTTGACTGTCTTTTTTATCTTGATTTGAGACTGTTAGTTAATATTTCGAGACCCAGCCTATAATTAGGGTCACCCTTGGTGACAGGGCAGGTAAACCCAGAACTCAAATAGACTTGGTCATTTTGACCTGTGCGGCCTTCTTGTCAGACATGATGAGGCGGTCACTGTTGAAACCTGTAGGGTGGGCAACACCAGCTTGTAGGAGGGGTAGAAAGGCCATCTTTGTCGTCCAGCGCTGTTTGCATACGTTTGCATCTTCACAAACAGTGTCAGGCTGTGATTGCATGGAGGTTTCTGTTTAGGTCAATGCTTCCCTTAGCAAGGATTAGTTTTCCTTAAAACCAGATAATTTGTCAATCCAGTAAAACAAGTACACCTTGCCTATTTATAAGATCCAGAAAAAAGCCTTTAAGGCACCACTGCCCCTCTCTGGCTGGGGACTTCTCCCCAGGACACCTGCACATTCACATGGCAGTGACCACCAAGACGCAAATGCAGCAAGGGTCCCAGTGTTGCTCTGAACATCACATACTGGCAAAGTTAATTCCTCTATTTCTTAGATAAAAACAAACATAAGTAGTTCAGATTATTACCTTCCTATTCTCCGAAGCTCTACTGTCCAATAAAGTAGCCATCAGACACGTGGTTATTTAAATGTGCTGTAAGTTAATTGAAAATACATACAATTAGCATTCAGTTCTGTGTCTGCACAGGCCACATCTTGAGAGCCCAACAGCAGTCCCAACCCGAGGGCCACCATGCTGCACAGAGCAGACGTAGGGCCTCTGCACCACTGCGGAAGATCCTGCCGGACACCGAAGCTCCAAGGCTTGTCCCAGGCACTGCCCTCTGTAGCTGGTGACTTGAGAGTAGCGTCCCCTCAGCCGTACCCTGGAGTGAGCTGGTGACCGCCAAGCGCTAGTGCACAGACTATCTCCCAAAGCCTCCGACTGGCAGTCTGCCATGATGGAGGCACTCCTGTCAGCCTCCCTAAGCAGGCTTTTCACAGCTTCTCCCAGCTGCTGGAGACCCCAGGCAGACCCGAGGATGCCCTTGTCACCCTCTGCTGTGCTTAGCAACATCTGAGAAAACCATTACCTCAGGTCTAATTCCCCATAAATCAAGGCCAGTAATAGCTCAAACTGCCAAAACAGAGAGTATTATTATTTGCCCTGTGGTGTCTTCTGGGGCAGCGTTTTAGGATGTCAAATAAATACAATTCTGGGTGAAAATCCTTTAGAAGGTGTAACTATGTCCACAAAATGGGAGAGAGAGAGGGTGCCTGAACACCTTGAAGGACGGGAGGGGAACCCTGGCAGGTGGGAGGAGAGCTGCCATTGCAGAGGAGTGGGAGGCAAGGAGTGAGGGAAGCACTGCAGACAGACGCTACCCATGGCACAGGGAGCCACCCGGGTGCCTGAAAGCATCGCCCTGGCCTGTGCACTTCTGTATTTCCAGAAGCAGATCTTGTTTGCCTGGGCTTAGAAGCAAATGCCACTTTCCGACACTGGACACATTAGATGGGTGGGAGCTGAGATACAATCAGTCAATCAGCTCTGACTCCCTCACACCTAATGCAAGAGAAAGTCCTTCTCTGAACGTACAATGGAGGGAGTCTTGGAGGGCATCGGCCTTACATTTCCAGCTGCAGTGGTGAAGGGAAGGGAAACAATGATGAAATACAGTCCAGCAGGAAAAACATCTTTTCTGCCCACTTCTCACAAGGCGAATGACAGAGAAGATGAAGTTGGAATCTTTTCCATTTGCCTTTGCCTCATGGATCGGATCCTGGAGGGAAAATGAGATGCGTGGGCTGCCAGTGTGTGTGTCGGAAGAGCTGCAGCTCATTTCTGCAACAGGAAACAACATCTGTTTCTACTCAGGGACCGAATAATATTTTTCAAAGTCTGGCTGAGCAACTGAGTTTCCTTTTACTGGCAGACCCAGTGTGGCGCCTCATACACTGGAAGCTTGCCCCTTTTTCCTAACTCGCCCTTTCCGCTGACCTACCAGGGAACAGGAAGGCTTCTACCCGTCCATCCATGCATGGTCCTGCTGTTCTGTCAGCGCTGGGAGGGAGGACCAGGTTCCATGCCCAGCCTGTCTCCTCTCTTGTGCTGAACCTGACAGTGTAATCCACTCTCTGTTCTGATGCTACACTTCCCTTCCTCGGGTGCCCAAGCTGAAAGAGGTCTTTGTCCATCCAACAGGGGAGAAAAGTGCGCTGCATTAGTGTTTCTGAAAGGAGGACCAGGACACACACCACCCAGTACAGGAAGTGCACGAGGCTTAAGTGCACCCCTCTGCGACCTTTCCATGTGTGCCAGGTCAGACCCGGGACACGCCCAGTGCCAGAGCTTCCTCTCATGCATCTCCCCAGCCCATGACCCATCCACGCAGAGGCAACCGCAGCTATGACTCCCAGAAGAATCCATTCTTCCTATGCAGCATGTGTTTTGCATCTGGCCTCCCCATTGACTTCCCAGGCAGCCTGTGGTGTGGGGGACTTGTGAGGCTGGAGGACCTGCCCAAAGGACCTCCAGGTGACCCCTGCCAGAGCTGCCTAGAAAAATGCTACCAGCTGTCACTTACTGCGTGTCTCTGTGCACTGGAAACCGCACTGAGGGCTCTAACAGCCCCCCAGGTGGACACTGGCTATTCCTTGTTGCCAGCCTGCGTATCTAGTGCATAATGGATTCTGACTTTACCCAGGTCTGTGGCTCTTTACTCTGCCCACAAGCGCCTGCACTTGCTTTCTTCTTTCTGCCTTTCCCCCATGCCAGGGCTGACCTGTCCACTGCACTTCAGTGGGTGCAGAGTGTTCCCAGGAAGTGAGAGGTGGACTAGGTGCTACCCACAGGCCTGAGAGCCCAGACCCCGCCAGGGCATGGCAGCCACAGTTCCCAGGATGACCAGAGCTGTTAGCCCTGGATCCCTACTCCAAGTTCAGTGCCATCGGTTTGGCAGCTTGAAATCGACAGTGTCCATCAGCGTTGCCTTTTGTTTATCTCAAGACAAAGGCGAACCTGAGGCTGCAGGATCCTGATGGCCATAAGGGAATGCCCAAGTCTTCTCTGAGGACTTGGAGTGGATGCTTGCTCGGCAGGACTGCCCAATCACAGATTCCTATTTCTTCCATTTTAAACCTGTTTTATGCTGGGCCATAGCCATACACATGCTTCTCTTCCTTCCACAGTTAACATACTAGTATTTGTTCCAGTGCAATCTGATCTCAGGACACCGCCCAGCACTGCATCTTTCTCCAGTCTCCCAGGCCGGCTCTGACGACTCAATCTGATCTCAGGACACCGCCCAGCACTGCATCTTTCTCCAGTCTCCCGGGCCGGCTCTGACGACTCTATCCAAGCCCCAGCCTCAAGGCTCCTGGTGTGGCTCTGGGACCATCGAATCTCCTTTGGGCCCCTTTGGTTTTGCAGCCGCTCTGGTCTCACTTTCAAATGTGTTTCCATCCCACCTTACTCGTCTCATCCAAGAGGTTCCCTGGTCCTTAGAAGAGGATTTGGCAGCAGCTCTAGGTCCCCTCAAGGGTGACCCCCAAGCCAATCTCTGAATAAACACCATGGCAAGAGGTGATAGGGCTTGGAACAGCAGAACAGAAAGTGAGTTTGGGAGGCCGGCATGTGAAGAGAATGGGCTTTGGAGGCAAGTGGAGGTGGGCTGGGATCCTGGTTCTGCCCCTTTTTAGCTGTGAGACTGTTAGCAGCTTATTTAACCTTTCCGAGCTCCAGGGATTTTTTTTTAATTTGTTAAAAAAATAATTTCTATTGGATCATTGAGGTGATTAAGATCATCAGTGGGATATGGTTAACATATTGAATATTTTTAGCAAAAGATCGCTATTTTTTTCTACCATTGACTTCTCTATAAGACGGAATAATACTCTACAGAAAAATCCCAGGTAAGGAGCAAATACCTCTGCAGTGGGTGGACTGGGTTCTGTGGTATGAAAAGGCGTTCTTCTCGCCATGTATGGCTTTCGCCGGCATGAGTTTAAACACTTGATCACAGCAACTGACTGGGGGCCAGCTAATCTCTCAGGACGAGCACACGCTAAGTTCATGAGGCAGGCGTACGAAACCGTGATGCCAGTTTATTCATTTGCATTACAGATGCAGTTTTCACAGGAACATGCTCCCTGATGGCACAGCCTCTTTCTTGCCTAGAGGACAAATACTCAAAGCCAATTCCCCTGAGCAAGGTCAAGGTGAGCAGCACTCACATTTATTCAGTGATTCTCCTTGTTGTAAGCTTCTCTATCCCAACAACTCTAAAAATGCAATAAACCCTAAACTAACATGAAAAAGACTGACAGTGCCAAGTGCTGGTGAGGAAGTGAATCAGCTGCAGCTGGCACACGCTGCTGGGGGAGTGCAGATTGCCAAAGGACTTTGAGAAACTGCGTGGCAGTATCCACAAAGCTGAACATTATCTGTGACAAGCAACCCAGTTCCTACATTTCTAACAAAAATGTCACATGTTCACCAAAGAACATGGACTAGAATGTTCACAGCAGCTTCGTTTGTGATAGCCAAATGGTGAAAATTGCTAAAGGTCCATCAGCGGGAGAATGGATAAATATAATTAAATACACCAAGATGATAGTGACACATCTAGTGAGTGGCAGAGCCAGGGTTTGAACCCAGGCACAGTGGTGCCAGAACCTTACTCTTACCTGTGAGATGACCCCCACCTCTGGTGCAATGTGCCAGTCACAGTACTTACAGCTATTAGCAACAGAAATTTAAGCTGGCTCCAATCCAAGTAGAATTTATTTTGAAGATAAAATGATATTAAAAAAAGAGAAAAGACAGAAGAAAATTAAGAAGAAGAAACGGAAAAGAAAGGGAAAGGAAAGGAAAGAAGAAGGGAAAGGAAGGGAAGAGGGAGGAGAGGGGAAGGGAGGGGAGGGCAGGGAAGGGAAGGGAAGGGAAGGGAAGGGAAGGGAAGGGAAGGGAAGGGAAGGGAAGGGAAGGGAAGGGAAGGGAAGGGAAAGGAAGGGACAGGAGTAGGCTGGACTTACTGAGAACCTGGGTGCGGGAAACTATCCCAAGGACCAAGGAGGTAACTCTGACCACACTGGTCCCTTAATTCTTCCTCCGTGGCCACTGCTCCCTTTGCCTCTCTGTAGATTCTGTCCCTCCCCAGTCATATTTCCTGCTCCCTGTGATACCTGCTCACAGGCTCCCAACGATGGTGGCCCTGGCTCTGAACCTCCATTCATACAACTACTGGCAATGCTTAGGACTGACTGGCTCTCAGTTATAGTTACTTGTAAATATTAATTTACCCACCTAAATAGTTCATACATGCACATGATTTTCTTAGAATCAGAAAGTGATACATTAAAAAGTTTCCTGTCTGAGCCCAGACCCAGCCCCCTCATCCAAGGTCACCCTTATGTTAATGTTTGTTGTACCTTTCTACAGCCATTCTGTGTATAAAGAGTATTTTTTTTTAAGCATTTAGGTTGGTGGAAAGAAAAATTCCAGAATAGTCAATGAAAATCTAAAAACTTGCCCAATCTCACTAGTTATCAGGGGATGGTAACTTAAACATTTAAGAAACCAGGCTGGGCACGATGGTTTATGCTTATAATTCCACCACTTTGGGAGGCCAAGGTAGGAGGATCACTTGAGTCCCAGAGTTCAAGACCAACATAGCAAAACCTCATCTCTATAAAGCATTTAAAAATTAGTTGATTGTGGTGGTACGCACACTCCTGGCTCAAGTGATCCTCTGACCTTAAGTCAGTGATTGTACCACTGCACTCCAGCCTGAGGGACAGAGATATAAATACATATTCTTATACATGTACATATACATACACATACGTATACATACACATACATATTCATAGATGTACATATACATATACATATGCATACATATACATACACATATTCATATACATGTACATATTCATATACATACATATAATACATACATATACATATTCATATACATACATATACATATTCATATACATATACTGTTATGCATGAGATTTTTAATGCATTTGTCATAAAAACCTACCCATTTGTTCACTAAGAATCTGACCAACATTCACAGTTTACATAAGAAGTGTGTGCAAGCACAGTTGTAATAGAAAAAGGGGATAAACTCTCACATAATTATAAGATAGAACGCCATGCCGCCATTTAAAAAAATAGGTCTACGCCTATCTATTCAAAATATAAACAGGTTTCTTGCTTAGTCTATGGGGTCACCCAAAAGCATGAACATTTCAAAATCCTAATGCCATCTCAGTTTCTACTTGTGGATGTCGAAAGCTGGAAAGAATATGGCTTTTACCCTGAAGAAAGGCAAACTTCAAATTTATGACTTTTCTCGAACCCATAAGAACACTGAAGTCAAAGGACATGGCTTCACTAGGAACTGGAGGAGAAACAGGGGCCCAAGGCAGAGACAAGAGACAAGATGCAGGCACCTGCTTACCTGGGGCAGATGCAGCCAGACACCATGAGGACAAGCAGGTGGGAGAGCAGGAAGCCCTTGGGGGCCACAGATGTGGGCTGTTCCTACCATTTTGTAGTTTTCCTACGTCAGACCAATTGGGCACTCAGGGAGAGCAGGGACAGTCTTGAGCAAGCTTCCCTCATGGCATAAGCCTGGAAAACCAGCCCTGCAGCAGAATCAAAACGTCAGTGAACACACGCTCTTAGCCAGTGAACACAGGCTAAAAAGTGCTAAGCAAAGGCAGCACTGGAGTACCGCTGGGCAGCAGGGGAGCAGCCTCTGCAGGAGGAACGCAGAATTCCACCCAGACCCTTCCTCTCTCCTTTGGAACAAAAGCCTTAATCTGGGGAGGGGAGCACCAAAATAGTTATATTTTAAAGCATTTGTCAAAACCCACTGCACCTGGGGTTGGAGGGAGGGAAGAGAAAAAAATCTGTATTTGGGAGAACAAGTATGCATTCTAGGTCCAGAACTACACCTGCAGAAGGGAAGCAACATATCTGAAAGCCACACCCATGAGACCCAGGGATGCAGGGTCTAGATTTGGCCCAGCCTAAGACTGGGGCATGATGAGAACACTGTGAGGCACATTCTTTTCCCTTTCACCAGCAATCAGGCATCAAATCAAAGTCACAGTGGGATGCATCCAAGAGAGCTGCAAAGACAGATTCTCACTGAGACCCACAGCCAAGAAGACTGTCAATTGAGGGTTGAACAGACACAGAGAAACACCCTCTGGAAAACCAGCCCCACCCTAAAGACAAGCTAATGTCATGAGATCTTTAGGGTGTTACTTTGCCAGCTAGAAACCTCTGTGGCCAGTGGCACCTCTGCTTGGGTTTTGCCTACACCAGCTGGGTTTGTTGCCCCCACTCAGCCCAGGCAGGTGGAATCATGCTACCAGCCCAGATTCCACACCTGCCAAGGGTGAGCGAGGTATAGAATAGCGAGAGGTGTGTGGGTGAGCAAGTGTGGGGTCCATCCACTGTACACAGCCAGGCACACTGGCTGCTGTGGCAGGGCAGGCAGTCCCAGGTGCTGGCACAGGTGCCAGCTCTGTGAGAGGCCAAAGCCAGACTGAATGTACCCCAAGCAGCTTCCATTGTGGGCACCAACATCTAGACAAGGGGAATGTGATGGCACCTGAGCAGGGACACCAGGAACTGCAGGGCCCCAAAGAGGGTGTTACAGCATGTCACAGCCCTGTGCCAGTTTGTTGCACCCTGGGCACCAACTGCCAAGTCTGACAGGTAGACTCTGTCTGCGTGACGGATGACAGAATTGTGCAGGCACAGATATTTTGCCTGTGTGAATGCAGCTAGGGGATGCCCCAGCTCACAGACCCCAAAGAGACTGGAGTCTGACCATGGAGCCCCCATATGCTGGAGAGGCTCATATTTATTTTAGAACAGATTTAATGACAAAGGTCTCAAGTAAATACCATTTGTGGGTAATTAACATTGCCAGCGCCCCCCAAGTAAAGAGCAGTCATGTGCCCAGATGATCAAAGGTTGGTTTATAGGGAGATAGGTAAACAAGCTGTTTAGATAAACTCCTCTACATTCCCTTGCTATCTGCTCTTTGCTATTAGCTCAAAGTAAGAAGATTAGGCTGCCTTCAGCCATAATTCTCCCCTGAGGCTTTTGCAAAACCTTCCAACCTTCCAAGGAGGTTTGCATCTTCCTTATAATTTTTCCCACCACTTGACCAATATCTTATATCTCCCCCTTTCTGTTTTTTGCATCAGGTTTTGTTGGTTGCAGAGTACAGATGTGTGCACCTACATCTCCCCCTTTCTGTTTTTTGCACCGGGTTTTGTTGGCTGCAGAGTACGGATGTCTGCACCTACATCTCCCCCTTTCTGTTTTTTGCATCAGGTTTTGTTGGTTGCAGAGTACAGATGTGTGCACCTACATCTCCCCCTTTCTGTTTTTTGCACCGGGTTTTGCTGGCTGCAGAGTACAGATGTGTGCACCTACATCTCCCCCTTTCTGTTTTTTGCGTCGGGTTTTGCTGGCTGCAGAGTACAGATGTGTGCACCTACATCTCCTCCTTTCTGTTTTTCGCGTCGGGTTTTGCTGGCTGCAGAGTACAGATGTGTGCACCTACATCTCCCCCTTTCTGTTTTTTGCGTCGGGTTTTGCTGGCTGCAGAGTACAGATGTGTGCACCTACATCTCCCCCTTTCTGTTTTTTGCGTCGGGTTTTGCTGGCTGCAGAGTACAGATGTGTGCACCTACATCTCCCCCTTTCTGTTTTTTGCGTCGGGTTTTGCTGGCTGCAGAGTACAGATGTGCACCAGCAGTTTTGTCAGGCACAGCAGTTCTAAGTCATATTCCGGCTTTGCATCCTGAAATTAGAAAATAACATGAGACAAATGTGAGTAAAATTAGTAACATTCTTTTTGAATCAAGGAGTGACACGAAGTGTTACTTTGCACCTCAGTGCAATATGTGCCATTCATGAGGGACCCCACCAGGGGTAGGTTCATTCTTTCTAGCTGAGAAATTGCATCATTAGAGGCTGGGAAGGGAGTGTCTGCCTAATGGGAAAAAAGCGGTTTCAGAAGACGGGCTAAATAGAGTGTAGCAGGTACAAGTATCAGGCAAAATGAGAGAATAAAAAATGAACAAATTATCTGGAGTGAATAGTGTTTGTGTTTGGAGCAGAATTCGCTCAGCCTCCTGAGTTGTTTTCTTTAGCACAATGTCCAGGGCCAGTGTCACCTGAGGAAGCTGCCTTGTCCCGGGCAGCAGGTCCTGCAGGGTCATTTTCTCTATCTCTGGTATTAGGTTGGGCCCTAGCCACGCTCTGGTATGGTTTGATGTGTGGTGCTGAAATCCAGAGAGGACCTGAGAGGGTGTGAACACAAGCATATCCTCTTCCCCATGTTAGCAAGTCATTTGGACCAAACCATACATTACTATCTACATCCTTCCGTAAAACTGTGGGCTTCATGTCTTGAGAGATTTTAGCAAAGTGCTTATTCTATATGGCCTGCATAATCAGAGAGCGCTATCTGAAGATTTAGACATGGGGCAATACTGCTTCGAGTTGCTTTTTACTCAAAGGAATTCTTATGATATCAGGGTCATAACCTAGCAACTGATTATATCATCTGTGGCCCATATAGATGACTTTACTAAATAGCTGGATATAGGGAGATAGTGTTTTAGTCCCAGTATGTGAGCAAAAAACCCATTCCAGGAAGCACAGTCCTGTGCTGAGAACGGTTGTCCCATGATGAAACCCTAGCAGAAAATTCCCTCGAACTTGGAAATCCTGAGCAGGCACCAGTGACTTACTGACTTACTGAATGCACAGTCTCTTCACTGTCATTTTTGAAGGTTCCATCGTGACCCATGATCCACTGCAGGGTCCTCACACAGGGCACCAACTGTCGGGTCTGACCAGCAGACTCTGAGCAACGGATGACAGAAGTGTGCAGACACAGATGTTTTGCCTGTGTGAGAGCAGCCCGGGGACTCCCACAACTCACAGGCCCTGAAGAGACTGGGGTACGGCCTTGAAGCCCCCATATGCTGAAGAGGCTTGTGTTTATTTTATAACAGATTTAATGACAATGGTCTTGAGTAAACACCATTTGTGGGTAATTAACATCACCAACCCCCGAGTAAAGGGCAGTCATGTGCCCCAATGATCAAAGGTTGGTTTCTGGGGAGACAGGTAAACAAACTATTTAGATAAACTCCTCTACATTTCCTTGTTATCTGCTCTTTGCTATTAGCTCAAGGTAAGAGAATTAGGCTGCCTTCAGCCATAATTCTCCCCCAAGGCTTTTGCAAAACCTTCCAGCCTTCCAAGAAGGTTTGCATCTTATAATTTTTTCCACCATGCTCACAATCTCCTATAGCCCTGGGTTGGGGAGCCCCAAGGTCTGGGCTCCCAGAAGTGCCACAGCTCTTCTTGCCTTCTAATTTCCCACAACATGGCAAGTGTGGGGCATGTTTCAGTCCTGCTTGTGTTACAGCTCATTCGGTCCTGCCATTTGGTTGGTGTTGAGTTCTTTTCTTACATTCAGGAAGAATGAGGTATGACAATAACTAGAGGGAGGGAGAACAAGTGGGAGAGGAGCTTCACTGAGTGACAGGACAGCTCTTAGGAGACCTGGAGTGGGTGGCTCCTATCTGCAGGCAGCTCATCTTGATTAAGTGTTCAGCTCTCAGTGGAGAGGAGACCTGGAGCGGACAGCTCCTTCCTGCAGGTGGGTCACCGCAAGGAGTGTGCAGCCCTCAGCAGAGAGGAGATGCACAGAGGGTAACTCCTTCCCACAGGCCAGTTATCCTGGCTCATCAAGGAAACCTGAAGTGGGTGGATCCTTCCCATAGCCAGTAGTCCAATGTCTCTGAGTCTAGCTGAGTTCAGGGGTTTTATGGGCCTCAGAAGCGAGGAAGTGCATACTGATTGGTCTATGGGTGGCCATGGGCAGGCCATAAAAAGCAGCATAAGTTCTCACTCTGGGCTGTGGACTCCACTTAGAACTGACAGCCAGCCCCCATGCTTCAGCCCATCCCTGGCTTGAAGGTAGAGCTTCACCAGGGACCCACCTCTTTCTGCCAAGGAGCCTGTGTGCCTCCTGCACCACCATCAGCGTGTTGTCCACATGCCCAGGCTGTTTGTACCAAAGGGATGCCCACAGGCCCGTACGAAGCTGCCCTCAGCACCCCCTCAGCTTCTCTCCCATGCTCGTTAGCTCCCAAAGTTTGCTGGAGGCCAAGATGTTAGGGGGCTGGCATGTCAGCACAGTCCTGAGTGTGCTCACACCCAGCCAGGTTGTGACAGCACCCGGGTTCAACCACAACTATGCCTCAGCCCCAAGTGGGTGTTGGGAGCAGGGAGAGGCCAGGTGGTAGGAGCAAGCACTTTGGAGCCTGTAGAGGAAAGGGGTTTTCTGGGCCCCTGAGAGTGCAGGGAAGCCCAGGTCTGGAGCCATGGCTGGGCAGGTGCAGCTGCACCCAGGAATGTAGGCTTCACACTCTGCCAACTTGGTAGGGGGCAGGGCTCCCACCTGTTCCCAGCTCCCATCAGCCTCACATAGCATGCAGCCCTGGCCGTGCCTCCCCTGCTACAGGTGGCATGTTTGCAGGAGCCACTTCAAATGGGCCGCACTGCCATTACTAATACTAAACCAATTTGAAGCACACAGTACACCATGGATAGCCATAGCAACGACAAACCTCAACCCCAGCCCAGCTACTGACTAGCCTAACCCAAACTGTCACCCTAAATACCTAACCAAAGTAAAGACATTGTCATTTTCTAATTTAAAGTACTTTTCTTAGTTTCTGCCTTCCCATTCAAGACATCTAGCATTCAACATACAATTATGAGGCATACAAAAAGGCAAGAAAAACAATATACACCTAAAAGACAAAGCAGTGAGCAAAACCAAATAATTCAGATTTGATACAGATGACACAGATGTTGGAACTAAATGATGAGGAATTGAAAATAACTATGGTTAACGTGTTAAAGCCCCAGTGAAATAGGAAGATGATGCACGTTCAGAGGGATAACGTTATGGGCTGGGTATTTTCACTTCTCCCAAATTCAAATGTTGAAGCCCTAACCCTCAATGTGATGACATTTGAAGAGAATCCTTTGGCAGATAATTAGGGCTAGATTAGGTGATGAGGGTGGGGCCCTTGTGAGGGATTACTGTGCTTATATGAAGAGAACAAGATCCCTCCCTCATTTCCTCCCTCTCTTTCCAGGTGCATGCACCAAGGAAGGCCATGTGAGGAATGCAGTGAGCAGACAGTCATAGGCAAGCCAGGAAGAGAGCCCTCACCATGAACAGAATCAGCTGGCATCTTAATCCTTGACTTCCTAGCCTCCTGAACTGTGAGAAATAAATTTTTGCTGCTCAGGCTATCTAGTCTAAGATATTTTGTTATGGCACCCTGAGATGACTAAGACAGGTAATTTTAGCAGAAATAAAGAGTGTTGAAAATTGAATAAATGAAGATAAAATAAAATGCATTTTTTCTTGTTTTTGAATGCTGTAAAAGATAACTGGTTATCTAAACCAAAAATGCTAGTAGTGTATGGTGTGCTTATTTATAAAATATAATAGCACCAATGATGGGAAAGAGAAATTAGGAACAAACAATTATAAGATTCTTACACTACACATGAAGTTGTAGACACTATAAGAAAGGGCCAATTGAAAATGCTAGATATAAAAATTGTCACAGTAGAGATGAAGAATGTCTTTGAGGAGCTCAGTAGTAGAACTGACACAGCCAAGGAAAGAATCAGTGAGCTTAAAGACAGGTAGAATTATATAAACAGAAACACAAGAGAAAAATGAGTAAAATAAAAAATGAAATAGACAATCTAAGGGCTGTAGGAAAATGTTTAACAAATGTATTATTGAAATAGCAGAGGGAGAAGAGAAAAAGAAAATGGAACAGAAGGAAATTTCAAACAAATAATGCTGAATATTCTAAAATTACTGACTGACAGCAAAGCATAGTTCCAAGAGCCCACTCAGAGATCACCAAAAAAGTTTTAAAACAACAATAACTAGGGATATGCTCTCCAAACTGCTGAAAATAAAAGGCAAAGAGAAATTTGCAAAAGCAGTCAGAGAAAAAAGAGATCTAACATACATAAGAACAAGCAAAAACTACGGCAGACTTCTCATCAACAACCATGTAAATCAGAAGACAATGGGTGATATTTTTAAGTGCTAAAAGAAAGACAACTGTAAACCTGGAATTCTATACCCAGCAAAAATATCTTTCAAAATGCAGAAGAAATAAAAACTGAGATAGTTCATTGACAATGACATACACTACAAGAAATGTTAAAGGAAATTCTTGAAACAGAAGGACTATGATATCTGTGATTGACAGAATGTCCCCCCACCACCCAAGATGTCCAGGTCTTAATTCCTGAATCTGTGAATAGGGTATGTTATATGTTACATAGCAAAAGGGAGCTTGCAGATATGGTTAAGATTATGAATTTTAAAATAGGAAGATTACACTGCATTATCAAGATGACCCAAATCTAATTGCAAAGATCTTTAAAAACAGAGAACTTGACCAAGCACAGTGGCTCACACCTGTAATCCCAGCACTTTGGGAGGTTGAAGTGGCCTGATCACTCGAGTCCAGGAGTTCCAAATCAGCCTTGGCAACATGGTGAAACTCTGTCTCTTTAAAAATACAAAAAGTCAGCCAGACATGGTGGTGTATGCCTGTAGTCCCAACTACTGGCAGGGCTGAGATGGGCGAATTGCTTGAACCCAGGAGGTGGAGGTTGCACTGAGCTGAGATCGTGCCATTGCACTCCAACCTGAGGGGGTAACAGAGCAAGACCCTGTTTTGAAAGAAAAAAATAACCCAGAGAACTCTCTTTAGCTGAGGGCAAAGAGATATGGCAAAAAGGGAAGTCAGAAATTTGAAGCGTGGGAGGAGCTTGACCTTTCATTGCTGGATGGAGAGCTCTTGGCAAGCAGGAGACAGAAGGCAGGCAGCCTCCAGAAACAAGGTCCAGCCCCTGCCTGACAGCCTGCCAGGACCTGGAACCTCAGCCCTACAACCACAAGAACTACATTTGGCCAGCCACCTGAATGAGCTCAGAAGTGGATTCATGCAAAAAACGGGCTTCTGAACCTGCGTGGAAAGCTGTGAAATACTACATGAAGCCACACTCTGATTAACCAGGGATGTGTATTGTAAGCCCTAGGGCAACCAACCTCTAAAGATTTTTCTTGAAAGTTTATAAATAATAAGTCAACATTGAAGATATATTGAAACTATAAAAGAGTTAACTCAAGACAAAGAGGGAAAAGAAGCAAAGACAGGTGGAATGAGTAGAAAATAGCTAACGAGATGGCAGATTTTAATTCAAATGTATCAATAATGACATTCAACATGCATGGTCTAAGCACACCAATGAAAAGACAGAGGCTGCCAGGCTGGCTAAGAAGCAAGCCACAACTATATGCTGCTTACAAGGCCCATTTCAATATACGAATGTAATGTTGAGGAGAGAAAGCTATTGGCAGAGATGAGATACACGTGTTGTAAATTTTCATGAACACAAAAAGAAGATATATTGTGTGTAATGCTATATGGGCCTGTGTGTATTTATGCAGTAAAATTATAGCGTTGACTGGATGGAGATACACATGAGGCTCGTGATAGTGATTCCCTCTGTGGTGAGAAGGAGAACGAGCTTGGGAAAAGTCACTAAGGAGATTTCAACTATATCATTACCAGTAATGTTTTGTGTAGTTTACGTTTAATCTAAAGTAAATATTATTAATTGTTAGTTTTTTAATATTCAGGTTAGTGAGCCCAAGAATATTTATTATATTTATTATAGGCTAAGTTGTGTTCATATTTTTTATTCATACACATTTTAGTGCATATTTCAAAAAAGTAAGAACTTCTTAAAATAAAAATACGGTCATCAACCTTAAAGTTACAATTATTCCCTAGTCTCATCACATATCTAATCAGTGTTTGAATTTCCATTGCATCATAAATGTTATAACTTGTTTGCTCATATTGCAATCTTAATTCCAGATATTCTGAATGGTTCTTAGTTTTTCAATATATAAATCTTCAAATCTTACAATTAATTTTTTCCAGGAAACTACATTATGAGTTATAATTTTGATGTATCTTTACTGCCGACTTATTATTTATAAACCTTCAGAAAAAGTTTTTTAGTGGTTGCCCTAGGGCTTTAAAAAACACATGCAAGGTTCTAACTCTTGGTACCTCAGAATATGTCCTTATTTGGAAACAGGTCATTGCAGATAAAATTAGTTAAGTAAAAATAAGGTCACACTGGAGTAGGGCTGTGCCCGACCAAATATGACCAGTGCCCTTATGAGAAGAAAGATGGAGACAGCAGCACAGAGGGAGGGTGTGATGGAAAGAGGCAAGGGAGGAAGCCAAGTAACAGCGGAGGCAGGGATGGGAGTGGTGCACTTGAGGCTAAGGAGTGCTGAGGGGCCACAGCCACAGAAGGTAAAAGAGATAAGGACGGGGCCTCCCTAGATCCTCCAGAGGGAGCACAGCCCTGCAACGCCTTGACTTCAGATTCCCGGCTTCCGGAGCTGGGAGTCAACCCACGTCTGCTGTTTAAATGTTTTTTACCAAAACAAGAAAACAAAGAAAAAGAAATGGTTCCTACAATATATGCTCTTTAGCACTTTTTAACATTTAAAAATATATCTTGGAAATATTTCCAAGTAAGTGTGGCTAGAGCAGCGTCAGGTCCTATTGTATGGAAGCACCATGATGGTTCAGTCAGTTCCCTGTTGATGGACACGTGGTTCCCTAGTTGTTGCCATCAGAAGTATTTTTGTGCCTCTGGATGGAAGAATGGCTACTCTTAGGTAGCCTTGTCAAAACACAAAAACCTGCATCTGAATCCAACTATCAATTTACAGCAAATCCCAGGGACAATAGAATCATCAAACAGAAAATGAAAATGCAACAAGCAAAATCCAAACTGTGGGAAACTCCAAAAGGCAAATAACTTAATTTCCTGAAGAAAGTAAAGATTTGTGGATTGAAAGACAAACAATCAATCAAAATATCTGGAATTGATTAGGATCTTTACACCAACAAAAAACTGTTAAAACAAGTTATAACGTGTATGATGCAAATTCAGAATCTGACTAGATATTTGTTGATACTATGGAATAACTGTTACTTTAAGTTTGATGGTTACATTGTTGTTTTTAGGAATTCTTACTTTTTGAAATATATACAAAAATGTATATGGATAAAAGATATGAAGTCTGTGATTTGTTTCAAAATACTATGGTGGAGTACAAGTGGTAAGGAAACAGACAAACCGAGATTGCCTACAAGTCGGTAACTGCCGAAGTTGGGATACAGACACTCACAAACGCATTATGATTTTTCTACTTTGGTAGAAGCTTAACATTTTCCATAGTAAACAGGTTTTAATGTTTCAGTGAACATTCTTGTGTTCACACATCTTTTGCCATTTGTGTGATTAAATCTGTAAGATAAATTGCTGAAAGTGAAAATGACAGGCCATATTAATTTCCACGTTTATAGATTTTGTCAAATTGCCCTCCACAGGAATATACGAACACATATTCCCACAAGGCAGGAGCATGGGTGAGGATGGCAGGGTGTGCAGGAAATCTTCATATATTAGGGACATTAAGCGTTTGTCTGTGATGCTGCCTTTGTTGTGTAAGGGTAAATGCAAAACAAAAAAATTTAAAAATTATTTTTTTCTGGTACAAAAAGGGATAAGAGATTCCTCTCTCCCTTTTCTTAAAGCATTGACTTTAGGTTGTTATTTTAAATTACGTCTCTGTCTCTTTCAGAAGTTTGTAACTATTTTTTAAACCCGTGCTAGTCATTTTGCATTGCTGTGAAGGAATACCTGACGCTGGTAAATTATGAAGAGGCTTCTTTGGCTCGCCGTTCTTCAGGCTGTACAGGAAGCATGGCTCTAGCATCTGCTTCTGGGGAGACCTCAGGCAGCTTGCAATCATGGCGGTAGGCAAAAGGGAAGCAGGCTCATCACCTGGTGAGAGCGAGGGCAAGAGAAAGATGCCAGGTTATTTTAAACAACCAACTCTCATGTGAGCTGTCAGAGGGATAACTCATTCATTACCATGGGGAGGGCACCAAACCATTCATCTGCCCCTAAGATCCAAACACCTCCCATTAGACCCCACCTCCAACATGGGAGATCATATTTCAACATGAGATTTGGAGGGGACAAACATCCAAACCGTATCAAATCTAAATAAGCTGCTTGCCAGCATTACAACCCAGGAGCGTCTTTCCCAGGAACCTAGAAGCCATCTCTTTGAAAGGCATCAAGGAAGACAGCAGCCCCTCTCCCAGTCTCCATGGAAGAGCAGAAGCTGACTGGTGGGTGCCTGGCTCCCAACTGCAAGCCTCTCTCCTGTTGTGAAGATAGAAGCAGTTTTCTTTTTCCCTTGGATAAATGCAATTAGCAAACACAGATGGCCACCCAGTTACCGGGTGAGCTGAGTGTGACAAGTGGTGCCGTCACGTCCTCCTGCCTTGTTTCTCCTGAGAACATGAACGTGCAGGTTATACCGTTTGGAAAGAAAACCAAAGCTGGATTTCCCTCCATCTCCGCCATCTCTCGGCGGACGCCTGTGATGCACATCATATTCTGGTTTCATGCTTATTACATTAAAAACATGATTTTTCTTCTCTTACTTTTGTGGCACAATCTTCTGGGTTGGCAGCACATTTTGTTTCTTATTACATTTTCCCATAAGTTGATGATATTTTTCCATGAAGATCTTTTTGATTTTTTTTTGAAGCTGACTTATCAATATTTCACAGCTCCTGCTATCAAATCTTATTTTAAAACAGAAATTTTTTTCTTCCTCCCCTCAACAATTTTTTTCTAGTTTCAAAAGTAATACATACTCATGGAAAGTGCAATCAACACAAGACATGATATATTGATAAATAATACAACGTGTGAGGATAGAGGGCGTCTGCCTCATGCCCCCACCTTACAACCACAATGACCAGCGTGGGGAAAGGCTTCCCATCCTCTCTCTAAACTTACATACACATCTTTGATAAAAATTGACTGTCTTCTCTATTATTTAGTAATAGCTTTATTGCAGTATTATTCACATACCATAAGATTCATTTTAAAGTTTGAAATTCAGTAGTTTTTACTATATTCAGAAAGTTGCACAGTATCCCACTATCTAACTTCAGCACATTTTCACCCCACAAAGAATCCCCTTACCCTGTAGCAGGTATGCCCACTTCCCTCACCCCCATCCCAAGTCCTATCAGCCCCTAATCTGCTTTCTGTGTCTATGGATTTGCTCATTCTGGACATTTCATACAAGTGGAGTCATACAACACGTGGGCTCTTGCCACTGGGACCCCTCCCTGAACACAATGTTTTCCAGGCTCCTCCCTGGCATGGGTCAGTGCTCCATCCCTCTTTACAGCAGGTAATGTTCACCAGATGGCAGACCACACTTCAATTGTCCACTCACCAGTTGATATAGTTTGGCTCCGTGTCCCCACCCAAATCTCATCTTGAATTGTAATCCCCGTATGTCAAGGGAGGGAGGTCATAGGATCATGGGGGTGGTTCCCCCCATGCTGTTCTCATGATAATGAGTGAATTCTCACAAGATGTGATGGTTTTATAAACAGCAGTTATTCCTGCACTGACACCCACTCACTTTCTTACCTGCCACCATGTAAGATGTGCCTGCTTCTCCTTCCACCATAATTATAAGTTTCCTGAGGCCTCCCCAGCCATGGAGAACTGTGAGTGAATTAAACCTCTTTCCTTTATAAAAGGTAATTTCCTTTATGAATTACTCAGTCTCAGGAAGTACTGAGTACAGGAAGTATAGCAGTGTGAGAATGGGCTAATACACCAGTTAACAGGCATTTGGGTTGTTTCCACCGTTATTAATTGGGTTATATTCTGCTGTTACGAATAAGGTGCTATAAGCACTCATGTGCAGGCTTTTGTGGGGACATATGTTTTTGATATTTGTGGGTATGCACCTAGATTGGAAATGCTGGGCCATATACACTGTGTGTGTAGCTGTCAGAGAGCTGCCAGCCTGCTTCCACAGTGGCTGCACACATATTCATCTGCAGCTTCTTCTTGTTTCACAACTGTTTATGTCAGGGAAGTAGATTCTCTTCACTCTTTTTGACAGCTGAGCTGTATGCCATAGTGTGAATGTGCCGTACATTTTGTCAACAGTCCTTGAGTCATAGATAGACTGTTTTTAAATTGCTTACTGCTATAGATGATGCCTCTGTGATTTGAACACACATTCTCAGGCAGTGGTGCAATGGTTTCAGCAGGATAGAATCCTAGAATGACTGAGTTAAGGGTGCATCTACAATTGTGATAGTTACAGATAGTTTTCAAGTTCTTTATGACTTAAGGTTTCAGATGGCTTAAAAATTCTCTCACTATGAAGCCCAGGCTTTAATCCTTTACAGAAAAGAGGACTGTCAGACACCTCCTTAACTGTGTGGCACTGGGAAGCATGTGTTCCTGACATTACTCCAAAAAAGGCATCATCTCACATCTGTGGTTCTCCTGCTAGAAATTCACAGCCTCACTTTAATCAGGAAGAAACATGAGACAACCCGTAACTGAGGACATGCTACAAAATCGTGGTCAAAATGTCAAGGTCTCAAAAGAGAAAGACAGGCTAAAGAATGCCCTGGATTAAAGAACACTGAGGAGATGTGAGAAGTAAGTACAACACGTGATCCTGGACTGGATCCCGGAGCAGAATATTTTTGCATAAAAAGATGTCATTGGAACAATTGATTGGCAAAACAATAAATAAAGTCTGTGGAATAGAAAACAGTATTGCACATGTATTATTTTCCTGATTGTGATAATTATGCATGCGGTTACTAGGAGGATGTCTTTATTTGTAGTGCATACTTACTGAAATCTTTAGGGATAAAGGAGCATCGTGACTGTGACTTATTCTGAAATTGTCAGAAAAATAATATGTATATTGCATACATATGGAGGGAGAGAGACCATAAAGCAAATATCACCAATTGGTGAGTCTAGGTGAACCAGCTACAGAAATTATTTGTACTATACTTGCAAATTTTCTGTAAGATTGAAATTGTTTCAAAGTAAAAAATTACCAAAAACTTTTTAAAAGCAAGTGATACAAAAATGCAAAGGCCTGGAAGAGTCTTCTTGTAAAGATCCAGGCAGGAGCTTGCTGTGCTGGGCAGTCACACTGCTCAGAGCTGAGGGTCAGAGACGCTGTGGTGGAGGTGGCAAGCTGTCTCAGCATGCTCCAGCTGTTAGAGCACACCACCACAAACTGGGTGGCTTCCAACAGAGAAATGTATTTCTCACAGTTCTGGGTACTGGGAAGTGGAAGATCAAGGTGCTAGCAGATTTGGTGTTGGTAGAAGGCTGCTTCCTGGTTCATAGAAGCCATCTCTTTGCTGTTACCTCACATGGCAAAAGGGATGTGGGAGCTCTCTGGGGTCTCATTTACAAGGGCACTAATTCCATTCCTGAGGGATCTGCCCCCATGAGCTCCTCCCTCCCAAAGGCCTGATCTCCTAATACTAACATTGGGGATTTGATTTCAACATATGAAATTTGGGAGGACACAGACGTTCAGACCATAGTGCAAACAAATAAACCCTGGAACAGAAAAGACTCCAGAAACACACTGCATGGATGGCCCCCTGGGTTGTGACAAAGGTGGCCCTGCAGAGTGCAGGAAAGGTGGGATTTCTAACACATGTGATGGGACAATTAAGTATGTATATGAGGTGAAAGAAAGGAGAAAGAGAGGGAGAGAAGAAAAGAGAGAGAAAGAAAATAAGGAAGGAAAGAAAGAGAGAAAGAGAAAAAGAAAGAAAGAGGAAGGAAGGAGGGAAGGAGTGAAGGAGGGAGGGAGAGAGAGAGGGAAGGAGGGAAGGGAAGGAAGGGAGGAAGAAGGAAAGGAAGAGGAAGGGAGAAAGAAAGATTTAATCTCCACTTATCACCATACACAAAAATCAATACCAGCTGTACCAAAATGTGAAAAGTGAAACAATAATGCTTTGGTAAGGAAACACAGCAAAATACCTTCACAATCTCAAAGCAGGGAAAAATACTTTAAGCAGAAACAAAAAAACTCTACCATAAATTTAAAAGTGCATGTTTTGGATGACATTTTAATGACGATCTCTGTCCATTATAAGAAGCCTTAATTGAGCAAAAACCCAAGCCCTAGAGTGGGAGAGCATTTTAACTGACAAGGAGATTGTATTTCGATGATACGAAGAACTCTTACAGAGAAGAGAGTAACAGACGCCCCACGGAAAACAGCAAAGGCCTTAACAGGTGTTTGCCAAAGAGAGTGTCAGATCTGCCAACAGCACATAGAAACGTTCCCACCCTCATTAAGATGAAAATGATTACTTCGAGATACCACAACACACAGAATGGACAGCATTAAAAAGAGTGACAGCGATACACTGCTGTGGTCTGAATGTGTGTTTCCCACCAAATTCATGTTGAAATCCTAACCACCAATTTGATGGCATCTGGATGTAGAGCCTTTGGAAGGTGGCTAGGTCACGAGGGTGGAGCCCTCGTGAATGAGATTAGTGTCCTTATAAAAGGGCTTGAGGGCTGGGCACAGTGGCTCATGCCTGCAATCCTAGCACTTTGGGAGGCTGAGGCAGGCGGACTGCCTGAGCTCAGAAGTTCAAGGCCAGCCTGGGCAACATGGTGAAACCCCATCTCCACTAAAAATACAAAAATCATCCAGGTATGGTGGCATGCGCCTATAATTCCTGCTACTCAGGAGGCTGAGGCAAAAGGATCACTTGAACCCAGGTGATGGAAGTTGCAGTGAGCCAAGATCATGCCGCTGCACTCCAGCCTGGGCAACAGAGCAAGACCCTGTCTCAAGAAATAAAAGGAATGGAGCTTGAGGGCACCTGTTTGGCCCTTTATTCTTCATGCCATGTGAGGACACAGCAGCAAGGCACCATCAATGGGGCAGA